AGCTAAGTGTAAAAATGGTAGCAAATAGTCTCAAATTTGCAATCATTCAAAACTCAATAAGAAAAGAGTACCTAAAAGAAGATTTACTAGAAGCATGTAAAAGATTAAAAGAGAAGAAAGTTATTGAGTATTATACAGATAAAGCATTAGAAAGTGATAGCAAAAAGGAGAATGCAGATAGAATAGGTATAGGATGAGTAGTTAGAGAAAAGGATATAATAGATAGAAATATTAGTTTTAGCAGTAGTTTAGAGAATTGGTCCTCCTTAACACATGCTGAGTTGAGAATGATCTGGTCAGCCCTATAGCACTATGTAAAACTGAAATATATTTTTTCATAGACAGCAAAGCTACAATAAAAGCTTTAGAAAGAGTCAATACAAACAATAATACATGAAGCTAGTTTAAGCTAAAAAACAGAAGTATAAGAATCCAAATTCAAAGATGTTACAAGGGAAAAGACTTAAACCAAATACTGTATAAAGTTAAAGGTTATAGCAGAAACAAATGGAATGACCAAGTAAATAAGTTAGCTAAAGAAAGAATGAAAAAATCTATAAATTCAGCATACTGGAAACAGCACCTAGCAACCTAATAGCTATACCTAAATGGAAAAGTCAAGCAATTGAAAAGCCTTTAAGATCTTTCATAAACATTATTATAGCAACAGTATATGAAACAGAATAGACAAATCTAAGTAAAACAGCAGAAATCATAGCTTATAATTATAATCCTAATTATAATACAGAGCTAAACTGGAAAATTATGTGGGACTTGCTCAAAGAAATGCAAAGCAAAAAATATATCAGCTTAAAAAAAGCAAGTCCCTCATGTTTCGTATAAAATGTATTAACAAGATTCTATCTACAAAAGATATCTGCTTTCAAAAAAATTCTAAGCTTTACAAAAGTCAAAGATATATAGCATATTTTCGAAAAGATAAAACCTTTTACCACCTAGCAGAATATGAAATGTACCAAGAAATTTAGAGAAAACTCGAAAAAGAAACTATATAGCTAATAGGCTTAGAAGCTTCAACAAAATTATATTAATATTAAGTGAAATTTCCCTCAAAGAAGCAATATATGATACAGAGTTAGAAGAAAAAATGAATTACAGAAAGATATATTTAAGAGGACTTATAAGTATTAAGTAGCTCACAAGCTTAAGCAAAGTAACCTAGTCAAGAAAGAAGGCAAGCAGAATCTTGGTCAGCTTTGTAAAATACTTTTAGGAGTATTTCTTTGAATATTTGTGAAAATTCTAATACAAAATTATGATTAAATAGAAAAAAGAAAACCAAATTATGACTAAGAACAAAAAGAAGAAAAAACAAAACAAAAAAGAAAATAAAGATAAAGAAAATGTTCAACCTAGTGATACAGAAAAAAAAGGAATAAAAGAGAAAGAAAAAAGAATACAGAAAGAGGTATTAGAAAGGGTTGATACATAGGTAAAGACAGGAAAAAAAGAAGGATAGTTAAAAATTAAAACAAAATAAAATAGTTTTGATATAAGCTGGTAGCAACTTCTTATAGACTGGAGACCTAAAGTCTGTATCTGCAGACTAAAGTCTCTGCGAGAAAAATTATTACTATAGCAGATCACATTTGAGCACCTCAAGGCAGCTGAGTGAGTCTAGAATGGTTGAAAGAAAGTATTTTATCATATTTTAGATTGTAATTTACTCTGTAGCATATATAAGCTTTTCCTTAATAAAATGATAGGCAAGATTACCAAAAAAAAAAAAAAATCTTAATATTTATATTAAAAAATATAATTTTTTAAACTAGTATTATATGATGTAGAATTAAGTATTAAATAAATTTATAATATAGAATAAAAGCATGAATCTCGAAAAATTAAACTTATTTAAGATGAAAGCGTCATTTATTATAACTTAATCGAAGTATTTTTGCAAGAAAGTTTTTTCGTTATACGTTACACGAAATTAATTACTACGTATTGAAAATCACTAAAAGAGCAAGAACGAAATGTGTAACAGATTCTACTATTGATCAGCATCGGCTATAGGATTATATTAGAAGTTAGAAATAGTATTTAGACAAATACTATACAAAATTATGTGTAGAATTTTTTTTCTTAAAGCACCAAGAGTAGTTTTATAGGCATAAAATTTGAAATAGAAATTTTCTTTTTTCTTAATTTTGCCGATCAACCTGTCACACCCGAACTTGCGATTTACTATAAATATTAGAAAAAAGTTTTTTATATAACGATAAGTGCTTCATTGCTTTATTCCAATACCATATTCAGTGTGTATATCTCGATAAATGATGACAAATAAATAAAGGTACATCCGTGATCTTAAGACGTTGTGATGCCTACAACAAAGATTCGAACAACTTAGCCGGTTTATCCGATCTGTCCGGCCATAGGACGTAACTCGGTATTTGGAATACAGCAATACTCGAATTTATTATTAACGTTAACAATCTTTATTCGTGAGAATATACACGCACTGAGCCACGTATCGTACTATACAATTTTTAATAATCTATCGCTATATTAAATATTTTGCGTTAGCGCATAACATGCAAATACTGGTATATGTATTTCTTGAAATCTTTTGTTAAAGGATCAAAATTTATTTTAAATAACGATAATGTTTAACCAATGTGACTAATTATTAAAACAATCTTTTTTATTTCTCTTTTGTTGTAAAAATGGAATTGTCCATTATCTGTTATCATAGATGTCACTCGTCACATGCATTCATATTTTTAAATGATTTGTCAAACTAAGATGTGTCCATATTTTATTGTGTCGCTAAACTTTTTCAAGGTTTTTACCTGTTAAATACCGAAAATATTTCTGAAAAGGGTCGGATTCCTTAAAAATGGTAATCACATGACTTTGCATAATTATTAAACCGACAGTACGACGCGGATAATTTAAATATCACTAGTCGTGAAAGCAAGAATTGGATTCGAATTAGACTCTACGAATTTTTGCGGCGCAAGAATTCTAATACGATATGTATGACGTGTATGTCACAAAGTCGCATAAAAGGGGTCACCGAAGTCGATGGGTTTTATACGATTCGACATTCTCTTGTGTTGCTTTAGGCTTTTTTTTTTCTTTTTGTGGTGTTCTTCGGGTTTATTTGATAATTTGACTTTCTAAGGTCTTCCACTAGTCTTATTTATTTCTTCAACTCGTTATATTTTTTGGTGCCTTGCTGTTATTGACCTTCCTTAGCCAAGTGACTCACGTATCACGAATCAACTGACCTGCACTTCTCTATTATCTTGGAAACCTACAAATTTTCGTTATCCATTTTTTTTTTCTTGCTCTTTTTTTTTTTTTTTTTTTTTTTTTTTTCCCAAAATTTTGTATAATTTTCGTGCCTGCTTGGGTGTGCCGTTTTTTTATTCCCACTCCGGGCAAGCGCCCTAGAGGGTGTGCCTATTTGACATTACCCATCCTGGAACGCGACCCGCCCTCGAATTCAAATTCTTCTTTTCCTACGGACGAGCCACGAACTCAAACAAGTGGCTATCATCCCCGTGACGAAGTCGATAACGATTATTCGCGACCTAGTGACTGTGACTCTGATTCTGATTTACGATTTCCAAAGCGCCCTCGTCTTACAAAACCTTCAACTAGGAAAAAACAAATAATGAGACTTCCAAAAAAAGAAAACGGTGTTGGAAGTAGTACTAATGGTGTTCCAGCTACTAGCAATGGTACTTCCCAAACTGTTACTAATGGTCAAGCTTCAACTCTTGCAACTTTGCAAAATCCTAGACGAGAAGAGCTTGTTCGACTCATGGTGCAAGCAATGCAAGACATGGGCTATAGGTGATGATCAATACTTTGATTCCTAATTCTCCAATTCATTCCTATCATGCTAATTTTTGTATTTTATTTATTTAGTAAATCCGCTGCTCAACTTGAAAAAGAATCTGGCTTTTTACTTGAAAGCTCTGCTGTTGCAAAATTCAGGGATGGTGTGTTAAAAGGTGATTGGGATTTGGTTGAAAGTCTTTTCCCAACATTGGAACTAGATCAAAACCAAGATATCGTGGTAACCTTCATAAGAACTTTCAATTTTTTTTTCCATTTTTTTTTTTTTTAATCTATTTCTTAAATTATTCTATATGTATTTTCAATTTTCAGGTTGTACGGTTTCTAATTCGCCAACAGAAATATTTGGAATTGCTAGAAAGAAGAGAAATAAAATTAGCACTATATACGTTAAGAAGCGAACTTACACCCCTTGCATTTAATACCGAAAGGCTCCACTTGCTATCTAGGTATGTTCATATGCTTTAATATTTTAACGCGCGTTAAAACTATTAATTCTTACATTATCTTCAATAGCTTTATAATGTACTCTAATGCTGAAGATTTAAGACGCAGAGCTGAATGGGACGGAGCCAGTGGATCTTCGCGTCAAAAATTATTGTTGGAGATACAAAGTATGAATTAAAAATTCTTCAATTATTATTATTATTCTAATATGATTTTTTAAAATTTATTTTTATTTCTTTATTTTTTTAAGAATACATCTCTCCTTCAATAATGGTACCTGAACATCGTCTAGAATCTTTGCTTGAACAGGCTACGACTTTTCAACGTATATCATGCCTATATCATAATTCTGATAAATATATTTCTTTATATTCTGACCATGTTTGTGATAGGTAAGGAATTTTTTTTTTAAAAGTATTCTTGATGCCACTTCAGACATTTACAATTTATGTTCACAATTAATATGTATACGTATATATTTTAAAATACTGTTTAATAGATCACAATTTCCTTCAAAAACTACTCATATATTTGAACGACATGAAGACGAGGTTTGGTATGTTGCATTCTCAAATAATGGAAAATTTTTGGCTTCGGCATCAAAGGATAAGACAGCAATCATATGGAGCCTTGAGGTATCATAAATTTTGTCATTTTGAATTCATTTCTAATTAAGTTTTCCGAGATGTCTTAAACTTATTCTAATTTATTAGACATTGGATTATGTGCACGAATTGAAAGCACATTCGGATTGTGTTTCTTTTTTATCTTGGTCTCCAGATGATACTAAAATTTTAACATGTGGTCAAGACAATGAGATAAAGCTTTGGAGTGTAGAAGTATGAAAATTGGATATTGAGGCTCTTATCATTCTTACTATTATGTCATTATATGTAATTAAGCACATCTCTTTTTTTTTTTAGTCCGGAGAATGTTTAAATACATTGGAAAAACACCGTGAGCCTGTAACCGCTTGTGCATGGCTTCCAGATGGACTACACTTTATATC